GACCAATTTGTCGCGACCAGAGTCGCGGAACGAATTAAGTTCGTGACCCGAGGTTCCACTGTATTTCTTTGCCTTGAAATACCTTCCAAGGTAGTGTTTCTGTTGGAAAGTAAATCCCATTGAGTGAATTCAATTACACACACTTCCTTGGAAATAAATCCCAACAGGAATTACTATTGAGTAGTGTTGTTAGTATACAATAGTCTGGAATTTATCTATATTCAGGAATGTTCTTTGAATAAGTGGCCTCATTTCATGGGATACTTAGGAAGAACTGAAGAGAGACGTAACCATCTCAAAGACTGAGTGAATTGGTTTTGTTTGATAAAAGTTGTCCCTCAATTCCAAATAAGAATGGGTTCGTTTTCTGTCCCAAGTGAATTCCAATACATTCTTTATCCATTTTCATTCAAGTCAGGAAAATGTGGTTGTAGTGAGTGTTTATTGGCCAGTGTCGATGATATCAGTGACTTAGGCTTTTTGGAACAATCTTGAAAGAAAAAAATGAGAATCTGTTACATTCTCCTCTTGAACAGAATCTGAAGTAGGTTTACCTCTGATTTTCTTTTTTCCTCCTACAGTAGGGAAGCTGTATATCTTTACGCTTCCTTTAGGAATCTTTCGTCCATAAGTGAATGGGTGAAACTAAGCCACTCTTAATTTTTGTAAAAGTTCATTGGTGTAAATGTAGGAAACCAGATTTCTGAGGATGATTCTCTTCTCTTTTGTGACTTAGTTTTAAGGCAACTTCAGCCTCTGAGAAGCATCAGCTTTGAGTAGGATATGTTATCTACGTTTCAACATTTTAATTAATGACTTAGATGAAGAGATGGAAGGAATGTTTATCTGATTTGCAATTGACACAAGATTGGGCTGGTTAGCTAATACCCTAGAATAGAGTAATAACAATTTAAAGGGTTTTTATCAGTTAGAAAAAAGGGCTGAATGTAACAGAATAAAATTTAATAGTGACAAATACAAAGTTTATCCACGTAGGATTCAGAATCATGCATATTGGAGTATTCCCTAATTGCAGATTGGATATGAGCCAGGAGCGTGATATGGCTGCAAAAAAGGCAAGCACAGTCAAGAGAAATATAGTTTCAAAATCATGGCAAGTATGGCTCCCTTTTATTCTGCTTTAATCAAACCCATCTCAAGTACTGTGTCCAATTCTGTGCACCTCACTTTAAGGATTGAGATACGCTGGGACAGGTTTGGAGACGATCAGAGCACTAGAAACTAAGAAAGATGGAAGGAACTGGTCGTTTCTAGCCTTGAAAAGAGAAGACTGAGAGGGGATAAGAGAGCCCTCTTGAAATCTTATGAAACAACCTGAAACGCAAGAGGTCAGAATATGTTTCTGTGAGTTGAGGCTCATATGTTTTTATGAGCTTAGGCTACACAACAGTGGAATGATGGAATCAAGTTACAGAAAGGCAGATGTCAATTGAATACATGTTTGGGTGCGCCATACTTACGTGTGCGTGTGTGTGTGTGTATGTATTTGTGTGTTTACATACATATGCTTGTATGTGTGTGTGTGCTATTAATTAAAATTAATTGCTTGTAAATGAAGATATCCAGTTTATAAAATTAAATGTTCTCCCTTCTGCATATACCCATCATTACCTCCCTGATACACAGACTACTCTTACAGAAACAGGCCACAGCCCCAAATTCTTTCTCTCCTTCCAACAGAAGTAGAAAAATGTGGGTGGGAAGGAAATACGATGGAATAAGGGGAAGGAAAGAGAAGAGAAAGGAATTAAACTGGGTGAAGATGAGGCAAGGGGACAAGCTCTCTAGATGAAAACAGAAAGAAAGGACAGAGAATCTCTGCTGAGCATTTAGAAAAAGAATTAAGTTCACCAGAGAAACAGACCCTTCTAAGCCATTGCTCAGCTTCAAGCCAAACTTGACATTTTCAAGCCAAACCTGAAAGGCATCCATGCTTTTGAGCGATAATCTCCACAATCATTCCTGCCCATTTCTTTATTTTCAACAGCTTCTTCTGTTCACATCAGTGAGTATATGGGGATGTCAAGTCTTAGGTAATTATTTAAGGGTGGGGAAATATTTCCTTTTGGGTAAATATGCAACTTGGTAGCAGGATTCAGTTACAACTCATTTATCTACAGGTAGTCCTCACTTAACGACAGCAATTGGGACTGCAATTTCCATGGCTAAGCAATGCCATCATAAAGCATGACATCACATGACTATGCTGCTTAGCCACAGAAATTCTGGCACTTCTGGTTGCAAATCACTGCAGGTCGTTAAGCAAGGATGTCATGTGTTCACCATTTGTGACCACCTGCCGGCTTCCCCATTGATTTTGCTTGTAGGAAGCCAACAAAGAAAGTCACAAATGGCGATCATGTGACCACGGGGACACTGCAACGGCCATAAGTACGAGGACCGGTCATAACTACCGCTCATTCCACTCCATTGTAAGTTCAAATGGTTGCTGAGTGAGTGGTCATTAAACGAGGACCACCTGTATTTTTTTCAATCTATTATCTAAAATGGATCTCATTTTCTTTGGTTCACATGGTTGGCCAGAGCTGAGAGTGGGTCCTGCTTGGGTTGAACAAGCTGCACAGTGAACATTTAACAGACAAGAAAACAACTCTGCCATCTTGTTTACTTTGTTTTTAGAATGGCAACAAAGACAACTCCCAGGACATGTTGGGGACAGATATTTGGGCAGCCAATACTCTTGAATCTTTCAGGTAAGCTTGCTTTCACTTTCTGTTCACTAACCTGATCAATATTCTGGCTTGCAACTGGTAACTGTCAAAGCATTCCACAGTTAAAGCTCCAGTGTTTATATATCAATTTCCCAGCCAGCATTTGTATCGATATACAGTACTGTGCAAAAGTTTTAGGTAGGTGTGAAAAAATGCTGTAAAGAAAGAATGCTTTCAAAAATATATATTGTAACTGTTTATGTTTATCAATTTACAAAATGCAAA